GCAATTATCACCAACTCAAAAAATAACAGCTACTTGGAGAGAGTGTGTGAAAAGGGAACACTTCTGCACTGTTGGTGGGAGTGTAAACTAGTGCAACCTCTGTGGAAAGCAGTGTGGCGATTCCTAAAAGCTCTAAAAATTGACCTTCCATATGACCCCTGCAATCCCCCTACTGAGAATATACCCTGAAGAACACAAATCACTCTATAAAAAAGATACCTGCACACGTATGTTTATCGCAGCATTGTTCACAATAGCAAGAACCTGGAAACAACCATGCTGCCCATCAAAAGAGGACTGGATTTAAAAAATGTGGTACATATACACGATGGAATACTACGCAGCCATAAAAAAGAACAAAATCATGAATTTCGCAGCAACCTGGATGGAACTAGAGTCTATAATACTGAGTGACCTCTCACAGAAACAAAGATCTGAATATCACATGTTCTTACTCATATAATGGACCTTGAACATCCAATGTAATACTATAAGGAAATGACTGACGGTACTGGAAAACTATGGGGGGGAGGAGGATGGGATTAACAGTAGCAAATATCTTTGGGGGATGGGAAAACACCTCTTATCAACAGGGTGCCTGAATAAAACGTAATTGTACACCTAACCCTTAACTGTACCCCACAAAACCATAATAAAAAATACAGATTAATTAAAAAAAAATTCCTGGAAACAAATGAAAAGAAAGCTATAACTTAGAACTGCTAGGATACCATGAAATCAGTGTTTAGAGGAAAGAATATAGCATCTTAGACACATATCAAGGAAATAGAGGGCTCACAAGTAGACAGCCTAATATAACAAGTAATTAAATCCTACATTCAGTAGAAAAATCCAGATTACTAAGATAAAGTCACAATTACAGGAAATATAAGACAAAAATATAGAAAGGATCAATAAGACAAAAAACTGGTTCTTTGAAAGGATAAGTAAGATTGACAGAGCCCTGGCCAGATTGACAAAAAAGAAGAGAAAGTTCAAATAAACGCAATTGGAAATGAAAAAGGTGATGTCATAACTGACAATGAAGAAATTAAAAGGATTATCAGAGATTACTGTGCATATCTGTATGCAAACAAGCTAGAAACTCGAGAGGATATGGAGGAATTCCTGGTATCACACAACCTCCCAAAGTTGAAACAGGAAATAAATTGAGACCCCAAACAGACCATAACAATCTAGGAAATCAACTCAATTATAAGAAACCTCCCCACCAAAAAAAGCCCTGGGTGGCTTCTCACGCCCATGCCAGCTCCGGCATGCCTCTCTTTCCTTCTTCTCTCCTCTGTTCTTTCTCTGATAAACTTTGGTTTAAAACTTAAAAAAAAAAAAAGCCGTGGATCAGATAGTTTCTTAGCTGATTCTACAAGACATACAAGGAATAGCTGATACCAATCCTATTGAAAGTATTACAGACAATTGAGAAGGAAAGAATCCTCCTTAACTCCTTCTGTGAAGCTAATATCGTCCTGATACCCAAAATTGGCAAAGGTCCAATAAGGAAAGACTTATGGGCCACTTTCCCTTATGAACATGGATGCAAAAATTCTCAACAGGATTCTAGCAAACTGTATCCAACAACACATTTCAAGGATCATTCATCATAATCAGGCTGGCTTCATTTCCAGGATACAGGGCTGATTCAACATTTGTAAATCTATAAACATATTTCAGCACATTAACAGGCATAAAACCAAGAACCACATGATTAGCTCATTAGACACAGAAAAAGCATTTGATAAAATCCAGCATTTCTTGATAAAAACCCTCAAACACTTAGGCATTGAAGGAACATTCCTCAAAACAGTAAAAGTCATTTATGACAAACCTGCAGCCTACATCAGCTTAATGGGCAGAAGCTGGAAGCATTCCTCCTAACAACTGGAACAAGACAAAGATACCCACATTCACCCCTCCTATTCAACATAGTACCGGAAGTGCTAGCCAGAGCAGTCAGACAGGAGAAGGAAATTAGGGGTATCCATGTAGGAAAAGAGGACTATATGATTCTATACCTAGAAAACCCTAGAGAGTCTGTTAAAAACTTCCTTACACTGATAAATGACTTCAATAAAATCTTGAGATACAAAATCAATGCACAAAGGACAGTTACATTTCTATACAGCAACAGTAAACAGACTAAGAACCAAATAAAAACACAATTCCATTCACAATAACTACAAAAATATGAAATACATTGATATCCACCTAACCAAAGAAGTGAAAGACCTTTACAATAAGAACTACAAAACATTGCTCAAAGAAATCAAGGATGATATAAAAAATGGTAGAACATCCCATGCTTATGGATTGGAAGAATCAGTATCATCATGTCTGTCCTGCACAAGGCACTCTACAGATTCAGTGCAATCCCTATCAAATTGCTAACATCATCTTTCACAGACCTAGAAAAGACAATAGAGAAATTCATATGGGAGCAAAAAAGAAAATGAATAGTTAAAACAAATCCTCAGCAAAAGGAACAAAGCTGGAGGCATTTCACTTTCAGACTTTCAACTTCATTACATTAATCAAGACAGCATGATATTGTTATAGGAATAGGCACATAGACCAATGGTACAAGACAGAGAATCTGGAAATAAAAACCTGGTTCCTCAAGCAACTCATCTACAAAGCCATCAATAACAATCATTGGGATATAGCAAACGGTGCTGGGAAAACTGGCTAGCCATATGCAGAAGAATGAAACTGCACCCCTACCTATCACCATATACAAAAAGCAACTTAAAATGGATCAAGGACTTAAATGTAAAACCTCAAACTGTAAGAATCCTAGAAGAAAACTTGGGAACACCCTCCTGGACATCAGAGTAGGTGTGTATTCATGGCTAATCCTCAAAAGCAAATGCAACAAAAGCTAAGATAGACAGATGGGACCTTGTCAGACTGAAAAGGTTTTGCACAGCAAAACAAACCCTCAAGAAAGTAAAGAGACAATCCATGGAATGTGAAAAAATATTTGCAAGCTATGCATCTGATGAAGGCCTAATGTCCAGAATCTATAAAAATCTCAAACTAATTTAAAGAAAAAAAAAAACCACAACATTAATACTGCATTAAAAAGTGGGCAAAGAACACTTCTCAAAGGATGACATACAAGCAGCCTACACACATGAAAAATGTTCAGCCTCACTAATCATCAGATAAACGCAAATTAAAACTGCAATGAGATACCACCTAACTACAGTAAGTTATCATTAACAAATGCTGATGCAACTGTGGAGAACAGGAGTCACTTCTGCACTTTTGGTGAGAATGTAATTAGTTCAACCTCTGTGGAAAGCAGTGAGGCAGTTTCTCAAAGAACTAAAAAATGAGCTTGCATATGATCCAACAATCCCTCTTCTGGAAATATACCCAGAGGAACATAAATCACTCTACAAAAAGACGCTTGCACGTGCATGTTTATTACAGCACTATTTATAGTAGCAAAAACATGGAACCTACCCAGATGCCTATTGAAAATGGAGTGAATAAAGAAAATGTGGTACATATACACGATGAAATATTACACAACCAAAAAGAAAAACAAAATCATGGCCTTCACAGCAACTTGGATGCAGCTGGAGATCATCCTATTAAGTGAACTATTACAGAAACAAAGAAGTGTATACCACGTATTGTAACTCATAAGCAGGCCCTGATCATTGGTCATGCTGTCACAAGGGTGGGATTTGCAGATACCGGACACTGCTACGGGTGGGGAGGAAAGGAGGAGAAAGAGGGCCATGTGACAACACACTGGATACCTGGTCTACTATCACAGGGAGAGAGTGTTAGCTAGAAGCTCAAACTTCATCTGCATGCAACCTACGTATGTAGTAAATGCCCACTTCTAGTCCACAACTCTAAAATAAAATAAAATAAATTTTTAAGAAGCGGAATTGCTAAATTATATGTAATTCTGTTTTTCATTTTCTTAGATACTGCCATGTTTTTTTCCATAGTAGTTTTATCGTTTGCCATTTCCATCAACAGTGCAGAAGTATTCCAATGTATCCACATCTTTGCTAACACTTGATCTTTTCTGGGTTTGTTTTTTGTTGTTGTTTGTTTTTTGATAGTAGTCATCCTAATAAGTGTGAGGTGGTATTTCTTGGTGGCTTTGGTTTATGTTTTCCTAATGATTAATAATATTGAGCATCCTTTCATGTTCTTTCTGGCCATTGTATATCTTCTTTGGAGAAATGTCACCTTTGAAAGCACTAACTTTAGATTTTATTTTGATAAAACATGTCTTAATATAAACTCTTTGGAATATCACAAATTTTTTGTTCTATTTTCTTGAACAAATTGCTTGATTTTGAATAACATAGTGAAAGACAGCATAGAGAAAATGCCAAATCATACTTTTGAAAAAATTGGTCTTATATTGTTTAAAAAATAAAAAGAAAAAGAGAGAAATGTTATCATTCATGTTTGAAGTCACTTCTTGTCATTTTATTTTTATATAAAGTAGTAAATATATTTTTATTATTCTTTAATATTTTACAACTCCTCCTGAAAATGCTACTGAACCTTTTGTTAAAATGTCTAATCAACTAGTAGAAATAGCTTTAAAGAGCTGGAGCCTAAGAAAAGTAGTTTCTGAATAAAGATCAAACAATTTGTTCAAGTTTTTATGAGGGAACACTTAGTTTCATTTTCACAGTATTCTGGTAGTAAGGAGTAGTTAAATAATGTGTACGTTTTATTGTGTATATTATATTCACACACACACACACACACACACACACACACACACACACACACACACACACGTGTCCATTTGTTAAAACTACTTTAGAAACCAAGTCGCAACACAGCTAATGCCACAGTCTAAGTTACATAGCTTGTTTGTGCAGATTGAGACTGAGAAACAAATCTTTTTTCATTTCATTGCCAGAATCCTGTAGTATCACAAACAGATTAATTTCTTCAGATATATATTTTAATTGATTCTCTGCTTGATTATTTTTTTAACAGAAATATAACTACCTTTTTTCTTTAACAGTTATTTCGAGAAGTACGAATAATGAAGATATTGAATCATCCTAACATAGGTATGAAATTTGTATATACAATTAGTGGAATATTTTCCTTAATTTGAGGCTATTTGAAAACATACAATTTTAAGGATACTTTATATAAACAAAAGAAAAGTGATAACCTGAGTGATAACCCAGGAAAGTGGTGCTTTGGGTAAAAATAGATCATAAAGAAGTTACTTAAAGGCTACAAATTGCTGTTTTCTCTCCCCATGCTATCTTTTGCTGTTCACTAAAATAATTGATACGACTTGGAATTAATGCATATAACTGGTTTTTTTTAAATCTGCGACTAAATCTCTCTAAATAGTATTGCCATTTAGGTATTTATAAAAAATGCCATTTAGGTTTTGTTTTTTTTTTAGTTGGAGTCTCACTCTGTCGCCCAGAGTGGAGTGC